GATTAAGGGCAAGGCCAATAGACATGCATTACCTTGTGTCTTGTAGCAAATTCAATGTAACCTTTAGCCATTTCTTCATGCTGTGTACCTTTAAAGTCTTCAGCTAATTTAGACATTAAACTCACTGATAACTCCTGTTAATAAGAAATAAATGAAACCTGTGATTTAAGTCCTAAGTGGGTGTTTCAACAATTAAGCCTGCATGTCCCTAATGTAATTTTTAAGTTTATACTCTCAGGTCTCAAAAAAAAAAGAAAAAAAAAGAAAAACCAACTTAACACTAAATATAGGCAAGCAAGATAAGTTTTACAAAACAGATTTAAAAGTGACTAAAGAAAACTAAGGCATGTTGAGAGTCCATGTTTATTAGGTCAAGACAGGACTTGTATTAATCAACAAAAATTGGAAATTGTAAAACTTCCTAGTTTATGCCTGATCATGGAGTGCTTGATCATGCAGGCATTATAAAAAGGTGAAAATATGCTTCATAATCTGTATTGACATAGGATCTTGGACTAGGAAACCTGCAATAGACAGGAAACCCACTCACCTGATCTTCCTTGCTTTCACTGTGTTCAAATGGCAAATATATGAAGCCTCTCTCAGCAAAATGAAATTCCAAGTGGTTGTGAGTTTTACCATCAATAAACTGTAAATCAAAGTAATCAGATATGAATTCTGAGGTTAAATCTTTCCCATCAAACCACCCTGTTGATCTGAAGGTATTGCAACCTCATAGTTTATATTTCATGTTTTTTGTTATTGAAAATTATTAACAGTCTCTCTCTCTCTCTTTCCTTGTCCTTGTCCTTTTCCAGCAGTCCACATTCTGAAACAGTCTGGTATTAATAAAGAAAAAAACCATGGAAACAAATTAAAAGTTTACATTCAAAAGCCATATGCCATGACATGATGTCAGTGCCATGTTTTAGATTCCTCACACACTCTCCAAATCACAGCAAAAGAGGTTAACTAAGACTATGACATGAGCAGAATGACTCTCACCTTCCTGGCAATTTCCCTAGCTCGGGTGTCACCTGAAAAAGCCTTGGCACTATTCTGTTCAAAAGAACAGAAAAACATGTTATAGCTATTATTGTTTGTATCTTTGCCATGATCTCCTGAACAATTTTGGTATATGAAAAGTATGTTTTGAAAGCTCGATCAACAAGGGAAATATTTTAGGGTTTCCGTCAAAGCCCCTTAACTGGATTAGATGGTTTACATCAAAAAGAGAATTGCAAAAATAATCAATCTATAGGTGCAGTAACTGGTAAGTCTCTTTCGGGATTCTTCTCCTAATCACTACCCTAATTAGCTCTTGAAAAAAAACTTGGAAACACCTCAGACATGACAAGAACAACTATTATACATTAGACTTACAAATGAAAATTCTGATAGGTCAAGTGCATTTTCAGTCAATATACAAAGGCATGTGAACTCCATAGATAAACCTGCAATATCTGCAACAGATATTGGGTTATCATGTCAAGTTCAGAGTGTGTCTAGTTTCCAAGCCCCTCATCTGTGTAGTCTTCTAAAACTTTCGCAAACTCAGAGAAAAGTGCCTTCTTTTGCAGATTGTTCAGAAGATGTATAATAAAACAGTTGTTGAATTTGGTTGTGTCTGTGTTACCTGCTACAGCCTTTGGCTTCTGCAGATAACTCAGTCCTTGGCATTCATAACTCACAATATCATGCTCAACCTCATCCAATAATTGCTCATTACAACCCTAACGCCTAAAGTGCTGCTGTTAATTGAATTAAGTGGAATAGTTTGTTATTTAACCTACCCTGAAAATACTCCTAGTAAACTGGTCAGTTAGGATGATCAGTGCCAGTGATGGCTTGGGCTCAGTTTCCCACTCTTTCAGTTCTCCTTGCACAGCTTTTTCAACCTGTAACAAGACAACTACCATTATATGTTGCTTTAAATAAAGTGATTGTCGAAACATGTATGCTCAGATCTCTCAGCTTTTCCAAGAGCCAAGGGCGTGGTTGTAAATGGGTAGGGGAGACTAAAGGGTGGGGGAGGAGAGAGACTGGAATATATTAGGACTGCCAAGAAAAATTAATGAGCCATAAAGAATAAAACAGCCTTAAACATGTCCCTTCAGAGCCCAGTTCTTTGAAAACCATGCTCTTCCCCCATCCATGCAGGAATGTAACCAATTGCCACCTCTTGTTGTTTCTGATCATTGTTTTCACTTACCAAAGATGAAAATTTTTGTCTGATTTCTTCATCCACTTGAGCTCCACCGTGAAACCACTTTTTTTCAGCTCCAGGGCTGAACCAATAGTACAGGACATTTTTCCAATGGTCTGAGTCATTACCAGAACATAAAGACCTAGTAATGACTCTCACAACTGTTCCACGTTTTGTCCTATCCGACGAAGAAAAATTTCATAAAGCAAGTTTAAATATCAGAGAAAATCTTTCGTGGTCCTGAACCTTCACTACAGAACAGCTGTATATTTAGTTCCTATGAGTGCCCTGATTGGTCAAAAACCCACCGTTTTATACACTGGTAGACCCATAGAATTTTATTTTTTTGTTGTTTCAAGTTTATTTCATGAAAGCAATAGATATATCGATTATAGATTTACACCGGTTTACAGGCTTACCTGAGGCGAGTGAGTCTCTGGGGTTATTTAAACGCAAGATCAATGCCACTCTATAACGCACGGCATTCACGGAAAACAGCTTTCAGTTATTAGTTAGTGTTTTAATTTTTAAATAGTTTTAGTTAATGTAATTGCTGATGAATTGTTTCGTGCTTAAATAAAAGATTATACTATACTATGTACAAACGTGCGAGTGTTCTCCTAACATCTGGAGTGGGTTACTTCGCTGCTAAACCGATATAAAGTGTGTTCTGTTATTCAGTTAATCCACTACAAAGTAAAGATCATTGAGTTGCACGGATAACTTGAATGTGCAGACGCGCTTTTTGTGGGCACCACTCAGTCTTTCGAGATTTGCCAATTATTATCTCAATAATTAAACATGTTGACGCCTTCAGCAATAAGAAAAAGTTTGTTGAAAACTTACAACTCGGTTGGTGTACTTAATAGTACACCAACTTACCATGTTACCATAACTTACCATGTTTTAAGCCTCACTGGGCTAAAAGTCTTGGTAAACACTGCACTAGTGACAAAAATAGCGGCCATCTTTTTCGTCGCGAGTGTCACAAAATTGCGTGACAGTCAAGGAACCTATCGCGCTCGGCTAAAAATACAACCCGTTGATAATCCGTTAAGCTTGTCGCAGAAGAGCTCGTAACAGCCTAGTAATTCGAGGTGGAAGAGAGTTTTGAGAATAACTGAAGATCTCCAAGACACGGTAAGTTCCTGAAAAATTCTATGAAAATACGATGGTGAATTTGTCATCGTTAAAAATCGAAAACGGAATGCTTTAGTTACCTGCGCCCAACAGCTGGTTCTTTCATGCACACTCAGACAGCGTTTGTCTTTGTCTTCTGACATATCATAGAAAGCCCCGTTTACGTTAAATGTTTTGAAACCATGAACTGTTCAACTTCTTCCTGGGCTTTCTTTAAATTTGTGGAAGCTCATACAAACCACACGAATGGTCAACTTTTCCTGGTTTTACAAGATGTCGTTTCGATCAGGTGTAAATGCAAATTCGTGTACTTCAATCCTGATGGAAAAAAAATGAGAGCCTCGCTCAGCTATATGTCTTCTGTTTAGCATAATCGGTTCTCATTCTGAGCACTTTTTTCTCTAAAAAGAAAAACGATTTGAATCACATAAAAAATAATTCGCAAATGATTTGGCTTGCATTACTCCGCGACATATAAAATATTCATTTCCTTTCTTTAGACAGAGCATCCAATTCCTGAAACTTCCGTAAACAACATTCGTATAGCGTATAGCTATGATTTTTTTGTCCTTTGCTTTTTATTTTGATTTTATATCCTTTTAAGCTACAAATGATGTTTCGTTTCATATGGCGAGCTTGGTTCGACTGAGATTTACATATACATGAGGCGAAAATTTGTTTTTTGTGATATTTAGTCGATTAAAATTCAGTCTGCGCGTTATGTCACGCAGGGTGTTTTGGTGGCACGGGTGGTCACGCTTTTAACGCAAAGGTTTGCGTTCCTGTTTGTTTTCCTCGTCAGCAAAAAGACCATGTTTAACAGTCAATATAAGGAAGCTAATGATGTGTTGAATTACTGGTTCGGAGGAGGGGACCGTTCCAAGCGACCAAAATGGTTCGGAGGCGGAGAAGAAGCTGCTAAGGAAGTAAAAGACAAGTTCGGACCGCTGGTAAGTTGAAAATGTCGTTTCATCAAGCACCAAGTAGTCTACTTTAATCGATGCACAGGTTGCTTACCATTAAGCCAAAAAGTCTTTAAATTTCAGTTTTATGGCAAGTGACAATGTAATTTTTCCAGAAATCTCGTTGGGAAATTGTAGAATACCTACAGATGTATTTCTCTTTTTCCATTCGGAACGGAACAGCAGAAAATTCCATATCATTCCAGGCTAGAGAGGGACGAAACGGCTGATAGATTATTAATGGTGCGCGCAATCTTATCCGCTGGGTCAAATTGGGAAAAACCATAACAAGGAAAACGCGCCAGAGAGGTCAAGTCACGATTGTTTTTATTTTCACTTTTGCTGACTGATTGAGACTGAGGGTAGCAGAGTTAACAAGACCACAGACGAAGTTTAATCAGGGTAAACAGGAATAAACCTCGTCCTGTTATTCTCTTTAGGTAGTGAAGTGATGCACAATTGACTCAGATAAAATACTATCTTATCGCTTGTAAACAGAATAATTGAGAGATGGTAAGTTTTGAGCTCGGTAACTGATATAAATATAGGTGTTTTTCGTCTTTCTCTATTTCTTTGCCGAGCTCAAAACTCACCATCTCTCTTAATTATTCTGTTTACAAACATGATGCTATCAACATTTCTGATCCTAGCAACATGTAGGACGCGTGTCACGGGGAATGCGGAATCCGAAGGTCTGAGGTTCGGTTCCTCATGGCAACTCAGAATTTTTCTTTGTCCCATGCTCGTGAAAAGACAGAAAACATCTTTCTCTACCCTATCTTTTTTTTCAATCTCACAATAATGATGATGAGAAAAGTCTCTCTTCTCTTACAAGTGATTCACGTGAATGTGTTTAAAGCGAGAAAAGGAGACACTTTTTCTTTGAACCTTTTCTCTCTCAGGTGGAGAAAGCCAGAAATGACGAGTTGAAGCACTGGGAAAATGATCCTAAAGCCACATTAGCGTTGATCATATTACAGGACCAGTTCCTACGAAGTCTTTTCAAGGTTTGTATAACTACACGCTTATATCCGATTGACCGACGGACCAAAAGATGGCACGTCAGACCGACCAGTTGGCCGACCTATTCAACCGAGCGATCGACCTATCGAACGACCGAAAAAAGAATGAAACACGGATAAACCAACCAGCCAAAAACAGATCAGGCGAAGGACTTTGTCGCGTAATTTTGTACAATTTCGTTACGAAATAAGAAAACATGCTATTGAGATTGACATTTTGAAGGCGCGTCGGCCTTCGACATTTTTTTGTAAGGCGTGTCGCTTAGATGTGATTTTTCATTAAGCATTACGACAAAAATAGATATATATATATTACACTAGAGAAGAAGTTAATCGAGACAAAAAGTAAAAGCGAAGTGGTCTTCAGTCAGAATAATTATGTAAACGAGAGAGCGTTTGTCAGTTGTTCTAATTGAATCAGTTTACGACAGACTTATTGGCTGAACATTACAGTCACAGCCGAGAAATTGAGTTATCTTGTAAATTTGACACTTTGGTATTGTCAACCGAGTTAATCATGTAAATTGACCATTGTAAAGAGTTTCTAAGCTAACCTTTTTTTAAGCGTTAGCCCTTCGTCAAAGCGAATAACGAAGGGCTAAGTTTCGAAACATCAGCTTAGAAACTCTTTACGGCGGCCAATTTACAATATCAACTCAGTTGAAAACACCAAATATCTTGTTATACTACCCCACCAACGCTGGACCACAGTAACCGAAAGGCTTTAGACATTTACCCCTTTATTCACTTATCGAGTGGGTGAACCCGATTTTACTAGAAAAAAAAGAAGGGTGGGGGAAGGAGGTCGAAAGTCGAGGACAATCTCTCGGATGTTAAATTTGAAAGTGCGCCTCTGAGTCGAAGATTAGTAGCTCAGCTGAAAGCTGATGGATGACGCTTACTTTAGAAAATTTCGGGCAAATTAATGTCCATGCATATCATGGAATACCCATCTTAAGATAGAAGGTATTTTTTCCAAATTGTTTCGTTCGGTTATTTCAGGGCAGTCCCACGGCTTTCTCAAGAGATACATATTGTGAAGAACTGGCCAAAAAGGTAAATAAAGTTTCCTCTACTTCTTGCCAGCATATTACCAGCATTTTTACCTCTTTTTAACATTTATTTCTCACCTTTCATTTCTTGGTGTTAAAAGTTTATACAACGCGAGACACACGATCATCTAAAGTTCAGCGCCGCTGCGAGAGTTTTCATTTATCTTCCACTGGAACACAGCGAGAACAGAGAGACTCAGGTGAGTCAGCGGCAATAAGATTTCTGGCCGTACGTATTAAAATATACAAGGAAATATTTGTCATTCTCGTCCAGTCACAGTGCCATAATTTGCTTTTCGCCTGTCCCTGCAAGTGCCGTAAACCACGTTTCGGGAATGCATGAACACTTCTAGACCGAGGAGTTGGGCCAACAGCGACTACCGTGACCACAATATTCCAAGTTTAAGTTACGAGTTGTTTGAAATGTTAAAGTGGAGACTTCAAGTCAAATTGACTTCTGCGCACGCACAAGCATAATCTCGCTTCATTTTGACCCAACCGTTTACTTTTTCGTTGTAGGAAATGAACGTGCAGCTGTTCGCTCAGTTAGAGAAGGACTGCAAAGGGGGCGAAGACGAGTCAAGTGGAAACGTTTGGTACAAGTTTGCTTGTCTTCACAAGGTGAGAATACTGGTTGGTTTACCGATGGGAGTTGACAATTATTTTACGCGACGTGGGAAGCAAAGATTGCAGACCGATTTTCGACAAAATGCAACCGACAGGAACGCAGAATATTAAATAAAGATAACAAATTTCAAAAAGAAATTGACGAAAGAGAGAAGGAGAGAGAGGGCTAACTTGCCAAGTGATGGTTTGAATTTGCGTGCAATGCGCACCATCTGCGCCAGTGATCATATTTTGAAAACGCTCCAAATCTGCGAAAGCCGAACCAAAGCCAAATTGTATTCCCTGACCGCATGGAAGCCTTCAATAAAGCGGGCAAAGAGCTCAGAACAAAATCCCAGCACTACAATGAATCCATTCCTTCTTTCTTTTGTATTCAGGAGGTAGTGGATCAGTTTGGGCGTTTTCCACAGCGCAACAAAGTTCTTGGCAGAGAGAATACTCCAGAAGAGGACGAATGGCTGAATAATCTTCCCGACCGTTTTAAATGGTGAAGACGACAGACAGCAGACTGATAACAAACCAGCAGTCTAGATGATATCTAAGATATGCACCCTGTAGATAAAATGCGTCGATTAGATCACAGCTTTAGTCCGGATTCCACCTTCACGTCTTGGAAGGAGCCTTGATTCTCCATTTCTTATCAGCCTTTTAATCCGACTAATAGAGTTTGTTCTCGACATTTTGGTTTTTAAATCAAAAAAAATTCTTTGACTTAAATCTAGAAGTCGATTTACATTTGTAATCAAAACCTGTAAGAGCACGACCAAAATTCAAACTTTGAACATTAAAAGATGTCGCACACTACCCTAGCTGTGTTTTGCAGAAAGCTTCCATTTCCTAGGGCTGCTTAAAGTTCAGTAAACGTTCGAGAAAATTTTAATTTATTATCTTGCTATTAAACAATTGTTCCGCGAGCGCGCGTTAGATATGAGATGATACTCAGATAGCCGTAGGGCCGATTTGGCTTAAATCATTTCATATCCAACAAACTCAACAAGCGCGGGTGGAATCATTGTCTTACAGTTACACAGTAGGATCTGAGTGCGAGATTACTCGCTGGGTTCATGGGGCAAAAATGTTAATTGAGCACTTTGTCACCCACTTCAGTCCCTATTTTGAGCTACACAAAGTTGTTGTCGTCTTTATTTAAAGAAAAAAAATCGTAGCTGATCAAAAACAACTACATGCAAAAGCACAAAATTCGACAAATATAGTCTGGGACAAAATATATCGAATTTAAGACTCTTAACCCGCCATTCTTCCATTTCAATGATGGGATTCTATCGCGTCAGCGGCCTTTATAAGGCTTCGTTTATGATTTTAGAATTTATGTCACCTTTATTTCTGTCAAAGATTATTGGCATACTCTTCATATAGAGAGAGAGGATGTCATGAATTTCCAGAATAAGAATAGAATTGGCTTCTTGTGGTAGCAAACTTTTATCTTAACACCGATAGTAATTCTTCACGCTATATCAAATCACCTCAAGTATTGTCACATATTGTGATTGTTGTATTTATTCTTGATATACGCCAAATACTAAGACCACAGCAAACAGAGAGTTGTTAATAAAGCTACATTCCGCAAAGTTGTCGGCTTTCTCGTCCCAACAGCACAAACTTCCGATCCGAATCGATTGGCCCATCTTCGGACCAATGTGCGTCACACACACGATCTTGTATCGATCGAAGCCGAGCAGTTTGACTTGAGATTTTACTTCTTCCGAGATTTGCAGTGTTAAATCCCGACACAAATTCGGATCGTAGCTCACATTTGCGAGTCTATTGGCCAACACTTCTTCTGCAATTCTCTTAGCAGCAACTGTGAAGGAATCGTAGAGGTGGATAAATAAAACTGAGATATGCAACTTTACAGTTTAAGACCAACAAGAAATAAAAACGTACTGTATGTGACAGGAAGAGATCATCATAAAGTGAGCTCAATTTCAATTTTCTGATGATTAAAACTAATCTGTTATCAGCTGTTTCAATTGCACTTATTTTCATAAGTATTTCATTTATATAACACCATTATATTTATTCATATCAAGATGCATTTTGGGATTTTGAACATGGCATTAATTTTCTGTCTCAAGAGGGTGATGAGTAAAGAACTTATATTTAGATTTTATTTGAGACCTTTCCGCTGTTTACAATGCTAAAAATATACCACCTCCATACGCCCTTTAAAGTAACATCGTGAGAAGAGATAAGGAGAGTTTTCTCTACTGGATTAAATTTACTACTGCCGAGACAACGTTGATAAAAATTATTAATAACAACTTTCTTTCCCAATTTTAATTTATACTTTTATCTAACTATTCCATGTTTTTTTTTTCACGGATTTTAAAGTCTATTTCACATTTTCGTCTTTCGCAGAATATTTTTGCTTAAAGAACCCATCCTGAGAGTGCCCTGTATTTTTAAAATCCACAAAAATCATCAGGGTTATATTGTTTTTTTAGGCAAAGTGGGGCCACGTGATCTCTTGTCAGTCAACGTGGTTGTTCCTTCTTACAGGAGAGAGGAACGGGAAGATGTGTTATAATGAGGAAGTTGTGCACAAGACCAATATCACTTCCCTGGCATCACGCCACAGAAAGTTTACATAAATAATCTTAATAAACAAGACAAAATAAGATTGCATCAACACGCTTATACTTAAATTAAACAAGACTAGACCATAAATGATAACGTTTACCGGGAGAGAATTTCTTCGCCGGGTCGGGTCCCACACGATATGTGTTCTCCAAATTAACAATTTCCGCTTGGCTGTTTTGTTTGAGCTCTGCTTCTTCTGAAAACTCTTCGTCCCGAATTGTACTGCCACTTCTCAGTCTAAGACTGTCATATCCTGACTGCTGATTTAAGGGAGCTTGGGGTGGTTTCTTGACGAAAAAGCTTCGGGTCGAAGTAAGTCCAAGGCTAGCTTTTCTAGATTTTGTTTTGCTCGGTTGACCCTGGAGCGCGTCCGCCATGTTTGAAGCTTCCAGTGCAGTCATCTTAATTCGTTACTAACGTAAGGCAGTCGATGCCAAAATTTCTTTCGCAATCTTTCTTACTCGCCGGACGTAAAAATGATAGAAAAATCAATGATAACAAAAGTTAACTGAAAGCTAAGTTTTGCTTGCATAGGCTTTTTCTCGAAGACTAAATGATGCGTAAACTCGCGTACCCTTTGTTTGCATTAAGAAAACATGCCGTCAGAAGTGATGATTAATGTTCCATAATTGTCCCCTGGGAAATTAACTTCCGAAAGTCGGCATCTAGTAAAGACCCGGAAAAATTGCGGTAATTATAACTTCTTAATTTTTTCACCGCAAGCCATTGGGCTGAGCAATTATTAAACTAGTAAATTCTAAATGGACTGAATAACACCGTGAAAAATAATTAGATTAACCGTCAAGAAACAAAAGTAGGCAAAATTTAAAGAACAATAGGATGTCTTCTGCCTTGAATAAGTTGTCGGCTCTGAAAAGAATCATTAGAAATGAGAAAGCCGCGTTCTTCGAGGCTTTCCCCCAGAACTTGTGCTAATAAAGTTTGAGAAGTCACCAAAGCAAATTAAAAGGTACAATCTTGTTCTGATGATCAAACCTGTGAAGATGCGAATATCGCTAAAACGGTTACCTGCGTTGGGGGTTTGGGTGAGGAGAGGCGGTATGGACATGACAAAGGACAGTAAGAGACAATGATACAACACCTCAGGTCAATAAGCATTGATTTTATCATTGTTACAGTTATCTTTTTATAACAGCATTTCCGATTTATTTCAAACCATATATCAGTATCGTGTGCTCAGTGACAAAATTGACCATCAGATAACAAGTAATCTTAACAACCTTTAGTGACAATTTTGACGTTTTGCTTGAAAAAAAAATACTAACCTCAACTCAAAGGAAGAGACCTAAAAAGCACAAAACAGTTTGATTCACCATCATCTGACAAGATCAAAATATGGTAACCGATAAATTCACCTCATCACAGGTTCGCCTCCAATCAACCTTTTAATGTAGGGGGCGAACTTGTTTTACGTTAGGGGCGAACCTGCAATGAGGAGAATTAACCATTAATCACAAAATACCCATATTCATCACAGTTTTGAATATGGAGTTTGCGTCAAGCACTTATGTCAAATTATGTCACTGCGCATAAGAAACTTATTATAGGTATGATTTTCAGATTGACGGTCTGCAGAATATACCCAGCCTTCCTTTAAATCTATACAGCAGTAACAAAAAAATCTCCTTTCTTTTCTCTCCATTCACTACATTTATTATTATACGGCGAATACTATGATGTGCTGAAAGAAATGCTGTACAAGAATATCCTTGGCGTCTGATTGGTTGAGAGGGTAACGCCAGTTCTTTAGACCAATCACAAAGCGAAGTAAAGCAAGGCCAAAGCGGTCAGGATTACTCTACGTTCTCCAACTAACCAACAATGGTCTCCCTGAGTTTCAAGCTAAAATAGATTTTACAGAAAGAATTTTTCTTAAGTGTACGATCCTACCGTTAAGAGCCTTTTTTGGTCACAATTTCGTATCATAGTTGTTATTATCAAATATGATAGCTATACAATTTTTCTTACGGATTAAATAGTTCAAAACATTTTTCTGTTGCTATAAGTGCCAACGACAGAGAATTTCTTAAATGTATAAATCCGCGTTTTTACAATACAATAATAATGTGAATAAACAGATCAGTTGAAAAAATACTTATCGTCATTTTCGTCCACTCCCAAATGCACCCAAATTTAGAGTTGCCGCGAGAACTTTGTTAAAAAGAATAAAGCTTTACATCAATGGCAATGAGATAGTTACGGAAAAAAAGGTCCAAAGTCTTTTGATTTTTTTTTTTATCAAATTTTGATTAGTTTTCCAATTGCAAAGATGGCTTTCATGAAGATGATGCTATAATATATTCGGTCGTGCAAGTTTCACCGGCATCGTGGAACCAGATAATGCTGTTAAATATCCTGCATTGCCACCCTTAACGAGGCAGCACGGCAATGTAACTGTCTTGATTTTACAGGAATTTCAAAAGTTTTCCACGTTCATCTTTAGCTTCTTCACATTTTTTTTAGGGGAAGATTTCAAATACCAAATCAAAACATCACATTTTTTGTCTGGATTCGTAGTTGAAATCTCTTCTAAAAAATATCATTTATCATTATCAGTTTCTTTTCTAATACAATAATATCATCGATTATATGTTGAGACATGAATAGTTATAGCAATTTCCCATAAATTGAATCATACTGAATATTATGTTAGTCGTTAATTTTTCCAAAACTAACAAAGTCCCTGTTTATGTGCTTGTCACTTATTGTGGTACTTGTATTTGGTAAATAGCACCATTGCCAGAAGATCCAAATATTCGACCAACGTCAGGAGACTGGCGCCGAGAAAGAGACCAATTTGACCTCCCACGTCACCTGAAAAATGATGTTAACTCGTATGTTAAGATTGAGGACGACTTCCGGCCTTAGTATTCTCAGTGACCAAGGAAACACTGTGAGTTGACCCTATTGTTAAAGTGCTGGACTCTGGGTCGAGAGGTCTGGGTTCGAACCATGACCAGGTAATTTGTTTTCGGGCAACACTTACAAGGCCCTTCCCCAGTCAGGAGTATACCTGGGTTCAAGTAGCCAGTCAGAGAAACCTGATACAAGCATCTCATTGTAAGGATTATATCGTAAGTGGTGCATTGTAAGTAATGTGTCGTAAGAGAGTTTGTGTATTTTAAGTAATGTATGCTGCCGTAAGTAATGATAAAAAAAAGTGAAAAATCATAGTAATCAAAAAAATGATACCCACCTAACAAATTGTACAGATCGTAACTGGGAACCTGTTTAACATCAGAGTAAGTTAAAGATTCGAAATAAATCCTCAACTCCAGAAGGTTATCTCTGAAATGTAAGTAAAAAAAATTCAAAACATAAGAAGTAACTTATACGCGAACCAGAGATAGAAACTTTCATTCTTCAATCGACGACTTAATTATTGAAATATTGACCTTTTAAACCCACTTGTTACTTTCATTTTATCCCTTTGCCCTTGTTAAGT